TTTAATTCTTTCTTATCCCTACTTATTCTTATCATTAAATCCATGGTTTATCATCTCAGCCTTGTGAATAAAATTGTCAATTTTTTCTGGATTCCTAGCCATGTAAGCATCGCTGGCAATAAACGTGCAGATAATCTTGCTTTCTCAACAAAATACACCAATCACATTTCCTCTTATAAAATACCAGCTTCCGATTTCCTTCCTATCCACCGTCAAATCCTTCGAAAAGCTTGGCAAACTAAATTTTCCTCTCTTTCACCTAACTATGGCACTTGGTATAGACAGATTGTTCCAACCATCCCTCACCGTCCATGGTTCAATGACCTGGGGCTATCTAGAAAATCGATTGTCGCTTTCACTCGCCTTCGAATAGGACACAGTCTTCTTCCCCACCATGCCTTTAAGCTTTCTTTAAACTTTTCTCCTCTTTGTACGCGACATAATGTTGACACCGTCTGCGACTTTAATCATATCATCTTTCAATGCCCATCCCTACTTCCCAACCGACTTCTCCTTTTCTCACTTCTATCTTCTTTTGGTTATATCACTCCCGACGCCAATCATCTACTTAATTCCCGTTCCATACCTGTTATCCACTCCATCATTAATTTCATTTATTCCGCTGGCTTCTCAATCTAATTAAATTGCTCTACATATATTTTATTAGTAAGATTGTTAATATTATTATTATTCACTAATTAATACCTTTGTTATTTTCGTTATATAATCGCTTTGCTGTAATGTGCGAACAAAGGCAAATTAAAAAAAAAAAAAAAAAAAAAAAAAATGAAAATATATATATATATATATATAATATTTTACAACTAATTTTATTCTCTTATTTTCTCTTCTTATTTTGGAACTCCACAATAATTTCATCTGTATTTATTTCTTTTAGTAGATATCTCAATTATAGATAGGTACAAATAATACAATTACGAAAATTAAAAAAATGCATAACCAAAATAAAATTTAAAGATTTTGAACTAGGCTTATGATAGATGAACCTTTGGGGCCTTAAAAATGTTTAGAGCCTGAAGCCCGGGTTCCTAGGCTCCGTGCTTAATTCAGCCCTGAGCACAACAAAAAATAATTTGTAAGTGTTTATTTTTTTATAAATGATACACTTTTAAGTAGAAAAATATTTACAAGGTATTATTTATATAATTTATGAATTTGAATAGATTTCATAATAAATATTATTCTTTAATTAAATTCCACAATGACTTGTATGCATTTTCATCCATAATTTTTATCCTTATAAGACAATTTTCTTCCTCTCTTGTTTATTTGCCTTTCTTAACCCACGATTCAATCCATTTTGTTGTATTAATCTTGTCAATTGGTAGAAAATTAAACAAAAAGTTCTCAAATGGTTGTCAAAAGTAAAAAGTAGAAACACCTATACGACTACACAACCGAAATCACTTCAAAATTATATAGTTTTTTTTTTTTTTTTTTTTTTATTATAGCTTCAAGTTACAACTAATATAGCTCAACAATTATGTAATAGAAAAGTACAAATTAAAGATAAAACATTACAAAATTACGACCTTTAAAACATAGATTTTATATAATAAAGTCAACATCCAAAATAAACTTGATAATACATTTAATAGTGAAGATGCAATTAGTATTGAGAATGGAATGGAGATTAAAAGGACAATTGAAAGATCTAAGAGATTTAATTAAGTCTAGATGTTCGGTTATCAGAGCAGGGCAATCGAATAATATATGAGATAGATCGTAAGTACATTCATCGAGATGCAGTGTACAGAAAGGGGAGTCGTTTAAGCCGAGTTTGAACGAATGACTGGATAATAGAGAATGTCCTATACGTAATATATTAAATTGTGTAATATGTAATCTGTGTAGATCTAATTTGCTGAACCAGATATTGTTAAGAATATTGGGTGTAATGTCTCTATATATTGACACAAAGTTACCAGGTAAATTATTCCAGTATGAAGACCATAGATTGAATGTGTAACGTTCAATAAAAGGAGTAAAGTCAGAGTGCGGAAGTAGAGTAAGAGATAGGAGGATAATGTTAGATGTGGATTTAGCAAGATTGTCGACAAATTCATTGCCGTGAATGCCGGTATGACCGGGGATTCATATGAAGTGTATTGTATAGTTTAAAGAATTGAGATTGAAAATAAGTGATTTTATACGTAGAACAAGTGGGGATAGTTGAGAGTGTAGAGGGTTGGAATTTAGGACTTGAAGACATGACATGGAGTCGGAAGCTATTAGATATTTGTTAGGGGAAAAGTTAAAAATGAGTGTTAAGGCATCGATGATGGCGTAGCACTTGGCTGTAAAGTAGGAAGACAAAGAGGGGAGATTATTTGAAAAAGAGACATGTAACTCTGGAATAAAAAATGCATAGCCAGCAGAAAGAGAAGAGACAGAACCATCCGTATAAACAACAATGAAATTGGGGTAGTTAACTCGCCGCATGGACCATGAATCATATTCTTGCATACTATTTCATAAAGTATAGGATCTCTGTCTTTGTTTGGTATCTCGGCAGAAATAATTTTATCAATTTCATCTGGCTGAATTTTCGTTTGTAACCACAAAAGAATGTGGCAGTGGGGCAAACCTCGTTTTTGCCATTCAACACTGTAAACATAACAATTTACATCTCCGAAAATATATTTATTTTTTAATACACGCATAAACTATTTTAGTTTGAGATGAAAAACTCTAGAGATTATATCGTGTTTATCAAACGACTTTTGGTCTTGAAGTAATTCATTTTTTATTTCCGGCCATTCCGGGTTGCATGTGAAATTAATAAATAAATCTGGACGACCAAATTTACGAACATAAGTCATGGCATCCTGATTTTTTTCATGCATGTAACGTGGGGGGCCAGTAAGAGAGGAGGGAAGAATTAATCGTTTCCCCACGTTATTAGCATTAATATTTGCATCATTATTAACAGCATCTCGGAGGTGAATATAATCATCTACACGTAGTTGTTTTTGATGGTTACGAATAAAGTGTAGTCTTTCAGAAATCATTTTTGCCATCATATCTACGGCGAATTGACTGAATAATGTTTTGTAATAATGTAGATGATTTAGACTTGTTTCTCTGTATGACGTGATTATTTTCACGCAAAACTGTTTGCAATAATTCAATGAGACCTCTTTTTAAATTTGGAATCATATTTGTTCGAATAGATATTTGATCAGACTCTGACATAAAATATATTTATAAAAATTTAGCATTATTTCCAATTTCGGGTAATAAACTACCTATTAAATGATGTACTTGACTCTGAATTTTAAAAGAGGGCATGAAGTTCCCTTCAGCTATTTCGTTTGCTCCAAACGATGTCATTTGAAACAGAGTATTATACCGTCTAGAATTATCAAAGAAATGTTTTGATAGAGGGTGAGAATTATCAATTAAACTTTTAATTAGGTCTGGAAGATCCTCAAATTGGTGTAAAACAACTTTACCGTCAGCGCAGCAAAGTCCATGGGTTTCATCTTTCCATTTCTTTGCATGGCACTTAGGACATAATATAGCCATTCGTCCAATTTGAAGCGCTTTAATATTTAAATAATCAATCTCGGATTGATAATATAGGTACAATTGTTTTTAATTTTTTATTAACTTTTTTACTGACAAAAGTGGCACTAAAACCTTCAGCAGAGTGTCGGGTTTCAGCCAAAAAAAATTTCAGCCAAATCGGTTCAGTAGTTTTCTCGGTTAGCGCGGTCGAAGAAAAACCCTTACAATTTTATATATAGTATAGATAGATAGATTGAAGAAATACGTTTATTAAAAGTTAAATTTGATTCAAATATGACACCCAAATCCTTAATATGATTAATGAAAGGCAATTCAAATCCTGATATTGAATAGCGATATAATATTAGTTTTTTTATTCGAAATAAAGAAAATGTCACTACATTTAGATAAGTTTAAATTCATATAATTTTCCAAACATTACCTTTTAACTGCATTAATATCATCTTACAATAAATAAGAATCTTTTATTGAATTAATATTACCAAGTAATTTACAATCATCTGCAAAAATAAACAATTTTGCAAATCTCAAATTAATAGATATATAATTTATAAAAATATTCAATAAGAGGTGAAAGGTGAGAACCTTGTGAAACACCTAAAGAAATATGTATTGGGTCGGATAAAAATTTTTGTATTTCATAATTGGGAGCCTGTTAGTAATAAATTAGGTAGGTAATCCAATATAACATTGGATTACCTATACAGATTGAATTTAACTTTTGGGATAGTAAAAAATGATTAACTCTGTCAAATGCTTTTACAAAATCAGTATAAATAACATCGGCTTGATAACCATCATTAATGGAGCTAATAATGTTATAGTAAAATGTGATAAGATTCGTATTTGTTGAGCGATTTATATGAAAACTTATATTATATGAAATTTATATGTTCTTGTCGAATACACTTTTTAAGTATTAATTTTAGTATGAGCGTTTTGTAAGTAATTTTAATGTTATTTTGTTAATTTCAGTACATCTGTACTTAGTGCGCATATTTACGTATTAGAAAAAACTTATTGATGAAAAATTGATGTCCTTACGATTACGACATTATTCTTAGCACACATAAAAATGTATGCGAGTATCGATCCATTTTGTGCATCCATGTGACACTAGCCTAAAATAGAGGAATCTAATAAATGTAATCCTACCAAATTTAGCTTATATTTTTAAAAATATTTTCAACATTTTCCACCTAATATATTATGTATACTTTATGCCATATAAAGGCACTATTACAATGCCTTATGAAAAAATATTACACCTATACAGATAGATAATAAAGTTTTAAGATTCATAAAGCTTTTTTAAAATCACCACTTTCAATATTTATCTGTTTTTACATTAATCTAGTTTAATTAATTTTATTATACATTTTTATAATTATTAGACAAAAGAATAAAGGGAGCAATGATATATATATATATATATATTTAATACATAATACAAGCTGTAAAATAAGTAAGCTATAATCAATTCTAAAAAAAAAAAATCTAATTAATCAATAATCAATATTACAAATTTCCTTATAAAATTTAATTAATTCAATCTGAATTCTTGATACTATCAATGTCAATTAAATGGTTATCAATACACTTTGGTCCACTGCCTAATTTAGTCACTAAAATGTATTTTAAAAGATCTTTTTCTTTAGGTTCAAATCCATATGGAGCCACCTGAAAAATAATTTTTTTTTAAAAAAAAAAACAGTAAAACACAAAGTAATCATTGCATTAAAAAAAAAACATTTTGAGCAAAAATTAATATAACACATATTGTTTTTATAAGATATCTAATTTATGTAACTGTACACCAAATATTTGAGTCAATATTTTTTTTAAATATAAGTCTAACCGACCAAACTATTTAAAAAGTATTTAGCTAAAGTTACATCTAGATTGAACATTTTAGAATTTTTTTAAAATATCCAAAATTATTATTCAAATAGAATATAATTTTTAAACTATTTTATTCTAATTTTTCTGTTTTACCAAAATTAATATCAATGTTTGTTTAGTAAAGTTAAACATAACTGCAAAGCTAATTTAATTAATTATAAAAAAAGAAAAAAAATTATTTTAGTTAACATTGAGCCTAATTTTTATATTGGATACACATATGACTTAGTATAAATTTAATATCTAACAATAATTTTTAAAGAAAAACATGGTTGTAAAACCTCCTAAGCTTAGAATCTAAAAAATAATATAATTTACTAACCTGATCAGGATTAGTTGATTTAATTCCTCGAATATACTTAGATTTTGATTTATCAGATGGAAAAACTTGAATCAATTCTGACATAAAAAGATCCAGGTCTTTTTCTAGGATAAACAAAAATGCATTTGGACCAGCATCAAAAGTGTAAGAAACCTTAAAAATAATGTATATAATAAACAACAATTAGTTATATCCTGTAAAACTTAAAATAATAATTTTATACTTTAACATGACCAGCAGCGTCGTTGTAATCATGGATAAATGTTATAATTTCATGCGATACTCCATTCAAATAAACACAAGGAGGATAAGTGTCTAAACAAATGGCATGGAATTGATTACTATCCCGCATTGTAATTTCAGCAAATTTTACAAAATTTTTATTAATTATAGCCTAAAACAAAATACATAACATTTTATAAATGTATATATAATAACATTAATAGTAAGAATATTTACTTCAATGATATCTTTTGTTCTTTCGGGTACGCACTTATTAACTCTGTATTGAAGTAATTCACTAGTCTCTACAGATTTTTTCATTCCCACAGTACTGCTCGTTTTTTTATGAGAATCATTCACCTAATTTAAATCAAAATAAACATTGCAATATATAAAACTAAAATAATTTGTGCACTATGCATTATCTAAAAAACAAATTGTGCAACTTTCATTTGGCAAATTAATATTAAAAATTGAAACAAAGGATTTTTACTAATACTAAGTAATAATTATTATTTATTATGGTCAAGCTATATTATTATATTAAATATTTAAAATGGCTTCATTTTATTTTATTTATTTATTGGTGTTATATATTATGAACTATTAAAATATTATTTTATTTATATTAAACATTTGAAACTGAAAAACATCCTAATATTAAATAATTAAATAAATATTTATACGTAAAAACACAAAATATGCATTATAATATTTACAACTATAACAATTTTGTAATAAAAATTTTTGATTGAAATCGTCACAATATATATTTCAATATCAATATTAGAGTGCAACTTAGTAAGTACTTAATTTATAAGACGTATTTTACCACAAGTATAATGATTCTCATTTCTGGCCAATGAGCTTCAGTAGCAATTTGAACTGCAGTTGAATCAGAGCCCAAATCATCTTTACCTGCCTTCCAATGAACAAATCCACCATAAATACTTCTACATGCACTTCCGCTACCTTGTCTGGCAATAGCTGGTAAATCTTCAGTTACCAAGTCAAAAGCATTGGCCAAAGTATATACTGTTATCATACATCAAACATATTATTATAATATTTATAAAATTTAGAATCCAGAGTTAGGATTTATTAAACCATACAAACCAAGACATGCATAACCAGCTGCTGATGAAGCAAGTCCCGCTGCCGTGGGGAAATTATTTTCAGAACATACTCTTATATTCCATTGTGCTTCTGGACAATTTTCGCCTTTTTTTTCTTTGATTAATTTTCTTACTGAAATTCAAAACAAAAACTTGTTTTACATTATCAATAAAAACTGATTAGCGAAAAAAACCAAAATTCAACAACTAACATACATTTTTGAAAATTATTTATAATTATACAAATTTTGAGTAGTTAATTGACAGTGTCATTATTAGTTGTTACTTATATATTTTAATTTCAAAAATATGATAATTATAAACCAATCTAAGATTTAGTATAAACACAAGAAATTCATTGCAACAGAATCTCAGCATTTAAGAAAAAGATATTTAGCAGCTTCAGGATTAAAATATTTTTATAGTATCATAATATAACAAATCATTTGAAATTACTTAAGTATTAAGTTTAAAAATAAATAAAAAAGTATTATTTAAAATACAAAATTAATATATTATACAATTTAATATAATATTATACATAATATTAATGGTAAAAATAAAATAATTTGTTTATTTTAACTGCTTTATTCAAAATATGAATAGTTTCCAAGTCACATGAATAACTGCAAAAAATATAATAAATCAGTAGGTGACTAAATGTTCCGTAACTCATATTATTAAATATTATGACATTTGAAAAAAAATATTCTAATTCACTTTTAATTTTAATTAAAATAATAAATACGTTGTACATAATAAATAAGAGTTTAATTTATAAATGTGATTTTTGACATATTTTTATGTAAAGAGATATTTTAAATATTATTAATTTAATTAATAATAAGATGAATTAATATAAAATTAAATTAGTTAAAAAAAAAAAAAAGATGTGGGCATTTATTTGAAAGTTAGAAAATATGAAAAATAATGATTTTAAGTACAATCATAATTTTTATTCTTAATTAAATAAATAACAAATTTGTATAAGATTTTTTAAACCTTTTTTACATTCATTTTCACATACGCAAAAAAGTGCATTTAAATAAAATCAATACATATCTTCAATCTCTTATTTTAATCAAAAACAAAAATAAAAATAGATCTATTGAATTTAGCTAACAAATTAATGAGATAATGGTTGGTAAAGTAATAATAGATATTATAAAATATAACATAATATAATATAATAATATATTTCATAATAAAATGTGTTCATTTTATTATAAATTTTAACATTATAAATTATAGATATGGTTTTTCATTAATGTTATTAAAATTAATTCTTACTTAGACTAAAGCATCTTTGCAACCGTTCATTTGTCTCAATGGGCATAACACTGTAATTATATAATTATATCATTATTATAAACAGTCAAGGAATGAATAATACAATTGAATAAATATAATTTTAAGCTAAATAAATTAGGTATATAATATAGTCATAATTTTGTCTATAAATTTTAAACTTAGTACACTTAAAATGTATAGGTATAATATAAAAAGAATTGATTTTTAATTGCATTTTTACTATAATTAATAGTATATATGATTGTAGAAAAAACCATTTCAGCAACTTAAAAAATAATACATTATGAATATTTCACACAGTTAAACTACCTATATTAAAATAATGGCTGCTTCAGAACTACTTATTAATAAAGCAATTAAATATTAATTATGATTTATATATAAATTTATGAACACTTTTCTATAGTGAAATAATGAAACTTTATAAACCATAAGTTATTGGAGCACATAAATATTAGTTTTGAATTATCTGTATCTATAGACATTAATTTAACAGCACATAATACAAATGCTTAATTTATTATTGTACAGTGAGCATCAATAAATAATAAATATTAATGAAGCATTATGTAAATGGATTAACTAAATATTTGTAGTTTTAATTTATTTCCATGATTTATAACAATTATTCATATGGGAAATATTAATTAATAATCAAAATGTATTATGTAATTTTAATTATTAATTAAATTAATAAATTAATTACTAATAATAATAATTGTATAAGTTATTCAATTTAATCAGTTAATAATTTAAATACGTTAAAATATTTAATTGAGTAGACTGATTATAGTAGGATATTAAGATAAGATAATATTTCTAGAGATAATTTATATTATATACTAATTAACACGAAATCATTGAATCTAAAACTGATATTTATTAAGATTATTAATATTATTAAGATTTTAAATATCAACTGTTCAATAAAATAATATAAAATGTTTATCAATGTCATTGTAACATTTAGTTAGAAACAAAAATATAACTTTTTTAAATAAAATGTGTATTAACATAATTTCCATTATTGTGATAAAAATGAAATGTTTTGAGAACATAAGATAATACTGGGAACAGAATAAAGAAAATGTTTATAAATATAGAGAAATTATCTTATTCATACATCTGGATTTGTACAGCTTCACAAGGTCTTTCAATGATCAATTGTTGTTAGAAATACAATTATTTGTGCACTAAGTGTAAGGTAGAGAGACGAGAGCATAAAGACAAGGCACCTCTGCCATAATTAATTTTTGATGATCCTCAATAAATTTTTATGAAAATTAAAACGAAGACTGTACAAACTAATGCCTAAAATAAATTTTTTTTTTTATAAATTTAATTGGAAAATTGTTGAGCACATATTTAAGTATGAACTCTTTTACTTAATGATAATTATTCCAAATATTATAGTATAATTTTTAATACATATGAAATACTAGTATAAATCGATTAATTTGAATTGGGCATTCACTGTATATATTAATGATGGTTACTAAGAATTTGAGATTAATACCCTTATCTAATACAAATCAAAAATCAAAAATCAAAAACTCTACTAATTTTTGTGTTCCTTAACTTTCTTTAATTTCAAACTTTACATTATTATTATTTTTTATGTCTGTTAACAAGATTTTGACAATAATTGATCCATACATAAAGTAAATGTTACTACTAATATTTGATGTTTGGTTAGTATATTAGTAAGACTGTTTTTAAACAGTTCTATTACATTTACATTTTTATCTTATAGTTTTAAGAAATTCAATTTGTTGATTTCATAACTTTAACAAACTGTTAAAACCCTCCCTTTTGACTATGAATGATTTTTTTTTTTTTAAAGCAGTAGTTAATAATTGTTTAAATGTTGAATGTTTAATTATATTTAGTTATAAAAAATAGAATTTACTATGTAAGATGAGTGAAAAACATTTCTTACAAGAACAACAGAATGTTAGTTTTTTTTGTTTAAAGAGATCCTTTGCTATAACTATTCCAGTGATGACAATAGATTTGTGATTTTGATTTAACAACCTATCATAATCCAAATTGATACACTTACTGTCCGTTAAGCATAACAGTGTCTTTTTTGACAAACGGTCCTGCAACCACAGACGTCTGGCTGTGCATCTGTAAATCAATTAAGAAATGTATATCACTGCACATTATCTGCAAATTCCAGAGCGTTTGTAAGAATTACCTGGTCACAATCCAGTGTCAAACTGACGGAATCGTTGAGTGGCAATATCAAATGTTCATCCCGTTTACCCCCTGTAAAAGAGCGATTAAAAAAAATAATAATAATAATTAAACGTCCCTAATCGGCGAACGACTAGAATTTCAGGGGCGACTCACAGTACTTAATGGTGGCGATGTTGACGGGAGCCATGCAGGTAACGACTTTGTCCATAACGACGGCGTTCGTTCGGTGCGCGAATAGGTGTCCGACGGTGTAAGACTGCAAGAAGTGTGCACTTGGACGGTGTGTTTGAGAAGCGACTCGGGCTGACGGGGGTACGACACGAAAGAACGGGACGTGTCGCGGCCGCGCGACGAACTAACAATAAAGTATTTACTGTAACGGTAAAGCACGCAGGTGGTTACGTTCGAGAACCGTGAAGGCCGGCTTTCGCTGGTGGAACGGCAACAATTACTATTACCGCGGTCAGGGGATAGGAAGCGCGATCAAGCGGCGGCGGTAGCGACGGCGGCGGCGGCGGCCGGTGTCGCGTCTCTGTAGTTTAAGTTGTTCGCGTTCTCGCGGTACGGCGCAATGGACGCACCGGACTTGGCGTCGAACAATTCCGGATGAGCTGCGCGGTCCGTCGTCGGGGGTACATGCGCCGTAAACGATATGGGAGCGGGGCGAGGGGGAATGGACGGTTGGATCACGCGCGGCCGCCGCCGCCAGAAGGTGCTGAATATACAAACATTCGTCGGCCGGTCGTCGCGGTCGGGTAGTGGGAGGACGGCGACCGTGCGCTGATAACGTTCGTGATTATCAGCCGAAGTTTGTTAGCACTAAGTGCTGAACACAATGTAACTTTACCGTACTGCGCTGTACCCGCGGCAATAGATTAGACGTTGAACGTACGGGATCGGCATTCGCACCGTGCCGTAACAACAACAAAAACAATAACAACGATAGTGAACGGTACTGTAACGGAGAATGGTAATCGTACCACTGGATTGTTGTTGTACGCGCGTAGAAAATCTTGAATTGTTTCAATTCTCTTTAGATGCAACACAACCATGTAGGCACCTGCGAAACGTACGTAGAACGGTACCGATAGCGCGCTGTGCAAACGTATTTATTGAACGTCACGTACGCTTTCCAACAAATACGGCGTACACACATTTATCAATTCACGCGCCAGCAAATACGGTGTATAGTGCGCGGACAAACACACGCGCACACGCACGCGCGCACACGCGTGCGCATACACATAGATAATAATAATATGTTTTACGTGTTTTATTGTTGTTGACGTACAATCGAACACACGCACACACGGTCGACGCGCGTTTGCGTTTATGGCGCACTTGACTCTAGTCAACATCCCGATTGCAATCATGTTTTGACTCGAGTCTTTTGCGGCAACATAGTTGCACTAGCATTTGAATCCGTTGCAGTGCCGTGGCGACAACCCACCCGAGACGGACGACGCGAAAAACGATACTTTGTTTTTTTTTTTTTATATATATTTACGTTCCTGCTCCCTTTGCCACTCTCTCGACTACATAATATCCATGGGTGCGTTTCACTGCAAATCGTGCGAGAACGGCGAGGATGTCGCGAACATATTCAGAGGTCAGCGTGGAACCGATAACGGTGAGCGAAGACGGTTCATATTCGGTAGACATCGCAGCCGCAGTCGTTCCGTCAAACAAACTGATTCGCTTGTGCTTCAGACATTGAGTGTCATCAAGAACCTAGGACTTTTCGATAAGTAAGTCTTGCAGATTTTTGTGAAAACCAAGTATACTAACTTATACACTTTTATACAGCACATCACTAGGTATGTTCTCTCTCTTATGTCATCAAACACCCAGTAACATCTTGTACACCATTGGTCTTGCCCTGTTTAATTACTAATAATTGTGAAATTATCAGTGGTGTAAACAAGGGAGAGGGTGTTTTGGGTGTCTGGACACCCTTCTTGAATTTATAGAATTGTTAATCGATGACTGTCTATAACATTTTTTTAAATTCATAACGTTCAACTGCATTCATATTTTATTCATAAGGTTTACTGAACACATTGTAATACTATTATGGTAGTTGAATGTAAATCATTATGTGTTATAAATTATAAATGTACATAATGGCTTTTATTCAAATAATATATAGAACAAATTCTGGAATATATCATCTATTGAAAATTAATATATTATTGCAACCAAGTAATATTATTATGATGATAATGAAAATCACAAGTGTGTATCTTTCTTTATTTTTCCCAAAAAATTGATGATACACTTGCCTCCTGGAAATGCCACTTAAGTGGATACCTAATAGCCAATATTTTAGATTTATCGGTGTCAAAAGATGAATAATATAATATTTGTTTGACTGTTGTGCCTACGTGTTATTATTATATCAGTACAGTTGTTCGAATGCTATTGTCACCATCAAACAAATAAAATTAGTAAACATGCCAATAAAAGTATAACCGACTTTTTTGCTTAAATAACTTTAAAAATACTGAAAATATACCTCAGAAACTCAATATCAGCATTTAGACTAAATTGATTAGTAACGCTAAACATTCACTGTGCAATTATTGTAGTTACTACAGATAATCTCATAAAAGAGTTAACTCGGAAAAAACCAAAATTAGTAAAATTATAATACGTATAATAACTTTCTAAAATGTCTTTATATTTGACTTGACTACTAAAATTATATGTGATTTATATCTAAAAATAAATGTTGGTAATGATTTTTACTTTATCTAATGAATGTCTAACACAGAAATAATTATAATGGTAGGTTTCGAAATTTTAAAATTATTACCTTTTAAAAAATAACTGTACAGATGTGTATATTACATTATACTTCATTTTACTTGTATTATTTATGAAATTTATATAAAGAAATAATTAAAAATTTGAGTATTTTGAAAATAAAATTTCAACCTAGATACTTAAAGCTTATTAGAAAATATATCTTAATTATTTATTCTACAAACTATTAAAACCTAATACAATAGAGTCTCTGTAATCCGACAGTAATTTATTTTAAAACTTTGTCTTAAAAGCATAATTTGAAACAAATTGATAGATTTTTTTAAACCAGTACCATTATAGTTAAGTTCACAGTATATCATAAATTAGTATGTCTGTATGTATTATTTATAAGTTTTAATAAAATTAATTAAGTTTTTTCAATAATTATAAATGCGTTTTTATGTGTTACTCCATTAATCTGGTGTTTTTGTTAATCCGACCGACCTGATATTTACTGGATTATTGAAAGTCTACTATACTATTATAATTAGTGACTATGACTACTGTTAAATACTTTGTAGTGCTTCTGAGTCATAGTTTTCATTAATTTTGTCATACAATTTATAGTTAGTGAAAACTTTTCATTATTTTGACATAAAAATCATGGTTAATGTAAATAATAGAATTCTAAAAAGAAATGTTAATTAATGATTAAGTAGTGATTTCAAAAATGTTTGGAATTACATCATTAAAATAGATCGCAAAATAATTCTAGTATGAATTAAATAAAAGTATCCGGTAGTTTTCTGTGACTTACTCATGAATTAACAAAATAAAACACTTTTTTTTTATTACAATATTTTAATCTAAACTATAATAAAAATATAGATTTTGTGATAAAACTTTAAATCTGTTTATTTATTTATTATTAACTGTTTAAATTTCATAGTTTTTTTCTATATTTTTTGATCATAATTAAACTAATAGACTAATAATGTGAATATGATTATATTCATAGTCTATTAGTTTAATTATCTTATTGAAAAATAAAGTGTAAAACTATCTTCAAACATATTTAAAAATATATTTCCTGATAGGATTTCATAAAAAAAAAAAAACATATTTACTAATTTTAAATTTAAATTATACCTATTTTTCAATAATTTGTATTTTAAATTTCAATCACTTAAAATTTTAGATTAAATTGAAATATTGATTATTTTATTTTTTATTATTCTATACTATCTATTATTTTCTCAAATAAAAGATTAAATATAATTTTTTAATAAAAACCGTCATTTTATTTTCATCATAACAGAATAACATTTGTCAATATTCACTTGGCATATAATTTAGTATTAAATAATTCATAATTTCATTCTTATAATTAGTAAATTCCTCGAATTTTATTAGTTTATAATGTTTTTCAATTTATGTGTATTACTTAATTGTTTTGTTGTTATCCTTATCTTTTTTTTTTATTAATATACCAAACTATTTTTAATAGTGATTACTTTTTTTTTTATTTATCTAGTTTATTTTCGTTAATAAATATTTAATTGGTTAAAGTTTGAATTTATTATGAGAGTTTAATTGGCTGACTTAAATATTTTGTAAGACTAGAAACACAATATAATCAATAGTTAAGTTTTTTTTCTATAGATCAATGTTTTTAATGTTTTTGACTTACTTTATTATGACTCATACAAAGATAAAAAATACAAACAATCATTTCTTTAAATAATTTACCGTTAAAATCTTATATTAATAATTTACTTAAGATTATACTCTTAATGGTATTATATTGAACAATTGATTTTATATTCATATGCACACAGTATTATTTAAGATTGAATCATATATAGAATTAATAAAATATTGTTTCAGGCAAGATTCTGGCTTATTTGGAACCAAGTCAAATATCCATTCAATATTTGTTTCCTATTATAAATAAATATATTGTACCTGTAAAATAGTCTATAGTATATTGAAAATAGTATACTAATTATTGTACAACATGTATATATTATGAGCTTATTAATATGAATATAATAATTTGATTTATTACAAAAATTTAAATTTGTTTTATCTTACAGTGGTTCTGAAGCACCAGAAGCATTGCGTAAGTTACATTGGTTAGCAGATGATGGTGATGGTTGGATTCAAGTGGTATTGTCTATGATTCATGTTATTCCTCTTGATGATCCCCTTAGTCCAGCTTTGATAACTGTTTTACTTGATGATTGCCCTCTACCAGACAAAGTATTAATTTAAAAAAAAATAAAACTGAAGTTTTGATCAATATTTAATATATTATTTTACAATTTTAAGGAAACTATAATGAAATTATCACAAATGTTAGATTTATCAAATAAAACTCCTAAACGTAAAACAATTGACCAACATCGTAATATTTGTGTTATATTGGGTATACTTGCTGACAAATTACCTGGACCTTCAAGTATCGCTTTATTAACTAAAGATACTTTATCTTATCTTTTTAATAACATGGTGAATACATATACATATATCTATGAATATTTTTAGCAAAAAAAATGTTTACTTTATATTAAATAAAATTTCAGGATTTACAAGTACATCCATCAATTATACTTTTTTCATTAATTGCACTTGAAAAATTTGCACAAATAAGTAAGTGTTGTTAATTTGTCTACTCTTGTAATTTATTAAAATGTTTCTATTATTTTTAGGAGAAAATAAATTTACTATTGAAACTTTCATGAAGACTGGTCCTTTGGCTATGTTGTCAATATTTGAAAGATTAACAGGTTCTGATCAGCCATTATATGCTCAAGTTGGATTTTGTGCTGAGTGGCTATTAGATAATATATGTAATGGGCTAAAGTAATATTTAAATTTATTTGTATTTAAAATAATTTATATTGTTTAACATTGTTAGTTGTGGATGATCAAAGGATATTATCTTATTCTAATGTTTCTATGGAAGGCGTAAATGCAATATTAAATCAAGAAGATGCTAGTGAATATTTAAAAATTGGTCCTTCTGGTTTAGAAGTATAAATATAATTTGATCAAATTAATATACATGATCTTTAATTTATTTATTTTTTCATTCTTTAGGCAAGATGTGATGCTTGTAGTTTTGAAAGTATCCGCTGTACATTCCAAATAGATAAAGGAACATGGTATTATGAGGTTACAATATTGACATCTGGAGTCATGCAGATTGGATGGTCAACTAGAAATTCAAAATTTTTTAATCATGTAAATATATAAACTATATGGTCAATTTTGTTAAATTAAATTAAATTTAATCCATTTTTAGGAGGGTTATGGTATTGGTGACGATGAATACTCAGTAGCCTATGATGGTTGCAGACAATTAGTGTGGCACGGTGCAGGATGTACTAGTTGTGTGTCTGGGAGGCCCTGGCGAGAAGGAGATACAGTTGGTTGCTTATTACGAGTAGAGACACCTTCTCCAAGTGCAACATTTTATTTGAACGGTCAAATAGTAGCTTCAAATGATAAAATATTTCAATATGCTAAGTATGTTACTTTTATAAATATATATAAAATAATATAAAATTAATTTCAATTTAAATATATAGGTCAGAATTTTTTGCTGCTGCTAGTTTTATGACGTTTCAACAAAGTCGTTTTAACTTTGGTAGCAAACCTTTCAAATATCCACCAAAAGGTGTAAAATTCAGTATAATGAATAATCATGGACAGTTAGACGAAAAGGAAAAAACTATTTTACCAAAGTAAGAGTATAATTGAATTGAAGTTATTGTGTAACATATGAAGGTTCAGTTAGGTTACTGGGATGGATTTATTTTAACTGAAAAATAATTATAATTGACTAAGTAATTATAAAATTGTTTAATATAATAGTCAATAATGGTTTATATATATTAAAGATTTCTGCAATCACTATTGCAATTTAATAATGACATGTAAAATAAAAAATAATTTGTGCTAATTAATAATGATATTAACATTTAAATTGTTAGACAATGCTAATAATAGTATTACAGATAAACATAATGATACAATATAATTAGAAATTAGAAAAGTGATAAAAATAGACAAAAGCGAATTAATTTATATGAAATAAAAAATAAATTTCTGAATTTAGTTTTGATTCGGGAAACATAACTGTTTTGTTTAGAATAAGTAAGAATGGTACTTGGAAGATGTTTATTTTTTACTTTAATTTAAATTTTAAGGCTGTCTTTTTAATTTTTGCAAGATAACAAGTTTTTAAATGACATTCATCTTGTGGTTAACTTAATACAAAGCACATTATGCTTAGTAGCTACTATATTAACTAGTATAGTAGCTCTAGAGTGATCATCTCAATATGTTTGACATTGTTATGAGACCTGATTGATTTTATAAGGTTTTTTAATTTTCTATAAGACTGAAGCAATGAAAGGAAGAATAATAATAAACTTGTGTTATTATTATTGATGATCGATTAGTATTAATAATTGTATTTTAATTTTGACTCCTAAGAGATTGATATAATTTAAATTAGTTAACACATTATAGTAAATATTGTCTTGGATTAATAATACTTAAACCCAATTTAGTGTTAAAAATAACTTGATATTTCATGTATATTGGAAAGTTGATGGATATATATTTTTTGCTTGAATCTTAAATCAATATAATTCTGGAATATTTTTCAGTTGGAATGTGCGATGTAGTTATTAATTTAGTCTGGATATATTAGTTATCAAATATGTTATATCATGACAGTGTGCAAATGTGTAATGTGCTTTGATTAGAAGGGCAACAATAAAGAGTTCATCTAGACATTTACACAATTTATATAAATTATCTGGACTGTTAAATTATATATTTTATATTATACTTATATTTATACTTAATTCAGTTAACCAATATCAGATATTTCATTAATTTATTTATTGATAATTTTCTTTTTATTAAATAATTAATATTTTTTAATGTTCAAAGTTAAATATTATTAAATTTTAACAACTTTAAGCAGTGAAATATACTTATACACTTTTATTAGGAAATTCTTTGTGGTTTAAAATTAAATTTATTTTATATTATTTTTGTCATCTAAAGATGGTCAAATTTTTCTGAAATTAATTTATTTTTAGTTTCGATATTATTGATTTACAGCGTTTTTAATTTGATCTCATTTTTGCCCAGTAACTAATATGAGACTACTATGTTTAGATACAAATCATTAATATAGTTAAATGTATGTTATTAGACGAATGAGACTGGAAATACTTGGTAAACAGACAGCAGATGAAGACTCTTGTACAATCTGTTTTGACCGAAAAGCTGATGTTATGTTATATCCTTGTAAACACGAGTAAGTTCCTTAAAATATATAATATTGATACATTTTGTATTTTTTGAATGTATTATATGGTAAAATAAATAACATTTTGTGATTTTTGCTATGTTCCAGAAGTTATTGTAAACATTGTGCACAACAACTTACACTATGTCCTGTCTGTCGTCAATTAATTGTTAGATTTCAAGAAAACAATCAACAGCCACCAGCAACAACCACAGCTGCACCTGCAGTTACAGTCCTAGTCAGTTAGCCGTGATCTCTTCCATTTTTACAAATTAAATACTTATATATATATATATATTCTTTTATTGTAAATCTTTATAAATATTGTGTATAATGAACTGGTAAAAATTGTATAAAATTAATTTGTTTTTAGACCAAAATTATAAATCATATAATATACAAAAGTCACTATACTCAAGGACTTATCATACATTTTATTGGAAAATAAAACAAATTGTATAGTGTCTACCCATCCCATTAATTAATCAGTTCTAACTCTAGTTAAAGTTAATTATTTATTTTTTATTATTAATGATTTTTTGACTATATGAAAAAAAGAGCAAATACAAAATACATTATCACAGCAAATTTATTTATAACAATCCAAATGAAGGTACTCTTAGAATAGAAATGTAACAGAGATTTATTCAAAGATATTTAGACTAAACAAAATACTTTCTTTTACTTTAAAATCATAACTTTAAATTAACTGATTATTGTAAAAAGTTTGTACCATGTGGTTTCTATACTGTACATGGGCGAGAAGGGATTCTAAAAAAAAGGAAAATTGATAGTATAAATACAAATTAAAAAAATCAAAAAAATTATATCGAAAAAATAAAATGTTATTAATCTGAATATATATCTATCTATAAATTAATACTATAATAATAACAATAATAAAATTTTATAAAATAATAATTAAATTTATTTTATTTTTGTATGCATTAAAAGTTGGCACAGCCATTGTTGAATGCAGTTTTTTTGTAAATAACTGTTGCTGTAAAATAAAAACAATTATTATCGAGCATAAATGTTCTTAATTGGCACTAATGCCAAAGCCACCACGGTTGCTATCAGCAAAGTAACGAACATCACGGTCTTCATCTCTCCGTAACCTAGTCAATGTTTCAGTGAGTACATGATGCTGAGGGTTTTGTAAATCCATAAAAATTGCTAAAATATATATATATATATATATACATACACATAATAATTTAATATTACATGAAAAAACAATTAAAAATCCAATTTTTACTTACGGTTATTTACTATTTGGGAGTAAAGAGTCTTGGCTACCATTAACCGAACATTTGGTACACGGTCAGACCCCAAGTTCAGCAAACAAGGCAATAATTCATTACTAAAATCCACTGCTGATAGACAACGGTCACCATAATTCAAAATATACGAACATATTTGGGCAAACATTTGTCGTCTACTCCATGAATCTGCTCTGCCAAATTGAGTAACTAGTTCATTGACCATCAATCGTTTTAGACCTAAATTTTTATTGAGAACCACCAACAGTTCAGGAACCTAGAAATAAAAATTAAAAATTAATTCAATGTTTATGTGTGTAAATTAGTCAATTTGTACTTACCAACGATAAAGCAGATTGCCGAACAGATGATATTCTGTCCATTAGTAATGAAAGACAAACTTCATGTATATGATGATACATGTCAAGTGGTGTGAACAAATGTAATGATTCTGCTAATTGTTCACAAAAGTTTTGTCTAAAACGCCAATTCCATTCATAATCGGTTTTTAAAAATCTGCACAACATTGGCGCTAAATCACTACGTACACTCGGTGATAACATCTAAAATCGTCAAAAATAGTATTGATAATGTTGACAATATACATTACAAATATAATCAAGTACTTAATGTTTTTAACAGTTATAATTTTAGTAAATGGTTATTACAATCATAAACATGCGTTGACATTAATGCCAATGTTGCCAAGTGCCTACTTTAACTACCCCGTGCGCACACTTATGATTACAGTAGTCAGATGAAACACAGACCATTAATTTTTCATCATACAACAATAAAATCAACTGCTTATTTTTTCCAATTACAACTCTATAATTGTAATATTAAATCAGAAATGAATTGGTTTGAAATTCATCACTAGGGTATCAGATGAAACACGGACCTTTAGTTTTTCATCATCTTTATAATATATTTTGTAATAATAAAT